GATGGTTGGTTGGATGGATGGATGGATGGATGTGTGGGTGGATGGATGAGCGTGTGGGTGGATGGATGGGTGGATGGGTGGGTGGGTGAATGGATGGTGGATGGATGGATGGGTGGGTAGATGGGTGGATGCTGTTGACATTCAGAAAGCAGGTAGCGGGCAAATATGTATATACAAAAACTGACACAATACCCCCAATCAATTTTTTTGACTTCCCTGTCACTGGGAAGTCCACAACCTCTTGGGCCCACATGGAACAACCACCATATCATTATATCTGCTCCTCGTCTCCTGCCCACCATCCCTGCCCTGGTTCAGGCCATGTGCCCCCTTTCCTGGACACCACACTGGGACCCTAGCTTTTCTCTGCCCTGGGGCTTCTCTCATTCTCTTCCTTCAAACCGGCTGCAGATTTCATAGCTCTGGTCATATCTTCCCTTCTGGGTCTTCCACATGATGACATCCAAACCCCTCATATTTTTCCAAATCCTTCACTGCATGGCCTCAGTCTGGTTTTCCAGGACTGTCGTCTCGCCCCCAAAGAATATGGGGGCCTTGCAGTTCCCCCCAGATCGCCCCACCCTCATGTCCTAGTTTATATCTGGAACACCTGTCACCTCACCTGCCCTTCAGTGCCCAGCGAAGATGATGCTTCCTCCCGGAAGTCTCCCACTCTGGACTCCAAACTCACCCCAAACCAGGAAGGAAATATTCTTTTTCTGAAACACCGTGACACTTACTCCACCTTGCAGGTGCCCTCTGTCCACCTACCCCCTCGTACAGCCCTGTCTGACCCCTACAGTGGCCGGCCCTGCCTCGGCACCGGTGACGGCAAGATGGAGGGATGGGTCTGGTTGGGTGGGCAACCATGCCTGGGGCAGGGGAGTGTCGCAGACCCAGCTGGCATCGAAGGGAATGGGCCCACGTGGGTGGAGACAGCGGATGGACAGACGCCCGTGACAAGGACACAATGTCTGCTTCACACCCACCGAATGCCAGCCTCTGCCCCGCTCACGCGTGCTGACTTGGGCGTTGTTTTCATTTCTGTTTGTTTTGTGAGCAGACACAGGAACCAGCTCAGAGGAAGGTGGTTTGTGAAGAGCTCACCCCTCTTCAGGGACCAAGCTGGGACTTCAGCCAAGGCCTTCTGACCCCAAGTCCGTTAGGCGCCCTTGGAAGTGCCCATGACTGGCTGCAAATAGCGTCGGGTGCAGCAGGCCAGGAGACAGCTGGATGGACAGATGGACAAGCTCCCAGGTGCAGGAGCCCGAGCCCGCCGCTCCTGCACCCCCTCTGCCCAGGCCAGAGACAGCTCACCTTGCACACTCCTTCCCCAGAAGCCCCGGGCCTTTCTGCCCTGGCTGTCCCCCAGGAAGGACGTGGGGGAGCAGCCCCGGGGTGGAGGCAGCGTGATCTCCCTTCCCCCCCTCAGAAGGACCAATTCCTGCCCATCCCGTCAGAGCACAAATCCTGCACCATTGAGAAGTCTGTGACCTACCTACAACCTGCACCAGATGGGCCTGCCCTGTGCCAGCCGGCGCCCACAGCCGAGCCAAGGGGAAGGGGGGGGGACAGCTTCCGGACAGGAGCCCACGCGGCCAGACCCGTGTCCACAGGCCATCGTCAGGGCATGGCAAGAGGGCCCCAGGGGAAGCAGAGCGTCACCAGCTGCCCCCACCACGGTGCCCTCTGCCTGGCACTGTTCCGTTGGGGCCAGAGCTGGGGTTGGCCTGGGGGCCTTCACCCCTAATCCCCAGGGGCCCTTTCCGGTGTGCTTTCACAGCACACACAGGCACACGCACGCACACATGCGGACAAAGTCACGTACCACTCACCCGCACAGTCACAAATATATGCACACTCACGCACGCACACGCGATGCAATGAATTACACGCACACCCACACCTGTATACACTCGCACACATATGCACACCCATACACACGCACACTCACTTATATACATGCACACACGCGAGCCCACACATAACACACTCACGTGCACAAATATACACACGCATTCACATCCACACACTCATGCACACATGCAATTACACTTACACATCCACACCTACACACCTGTGCACATGCGCATTCACACCTACGTGGGCACACACGCTCGTGCATCCATGCACACTCACACACACTCATTCACACCACACAGGCCCCACATGGCAGAGGCCCAGAGCTCCGTGCACCAGCCTGGGGGTGAAGGTGTGCCTGGCGGTGGGGGACGCTGACGAAGAGTCAGGAGGTCGGGAGAGCCAGGCGGCTGGGGCATGTGATGCCAGGGGCAGGGGTGGGGCTCGAAGATGCGCAGAGGCAGAGACAGCAGAGGAAGCTGCTGTCCTTCCCCCCCGCAGCCTCCCTGGCCCAGACCCTCCTCTCCCTGCAGCCCCACATCCCACCGCTGCCCACCCCCCTGCCCCCACCTCACCGGGCAGCTGCAGTCGGTGATGTGCACCTGGCCTCGGACACGCGAATCCAGGGACAGTGACCTCTGACTCCACAGGAGCCAAACCCGTCCGGAGTGACAGGGAGGCGGGTCCTGCTGCTTGGGTTCCAACAGCCCTGGCTCTTCAGTTCTTACACACTTGCACGGGGCTCCTCACCTCAGATGTGAGTGGGTCACAGGCCCCTTCCTGCAATCTGGGCCCATTTCTTTCCCCTCTGCCCCAGGGACGTGGGGTCCTGTCTGCCTGGCACCCTGCTCTGCTCCCAGCCGGCTCCTCTCCCAGCAGTCAGGGGCTTCCCAAAGTTGTACGCACTCAGGGTTTGGGGTCATGCCTCTCTCCCCCTGGACACCCCCCCCTCCCCGGCCACCAGGACGGACGTCTAGAAAGAGTGTGGGAGAAGGAAGGCAGAAAGCAGTGACCTTGTCCACCGTGGTCGGAGACCCCGGCTACCGTGGCCTCCTTCTGAAGGTCTGCCTGGTTTCAGGTCCCCCTGTGAGGGGCCCGAGCCGTCCTCCTGCTGACACGGGAAGGGTGCTGAGGGTCTGCATCTATGTGCTGGCTCCCCCCACCCCCCGAGTGCCCAGGGGCAGCTACATCTGAGTGTAATTCCCACGGCCCAGAGGACAGACCGAGCCCCGAGTCTGCACCTTGAGGCCTAAGCTGGCTGTGTAGAGAACCCAGTCCTGCGGCCCCCGAGCCCTGTCAAGACGCCCTGGAAGCTTCCGCAGCCCAGGATGGGGAGGGCAGCCCCTCCCTGCGGGCTCAGAGCTGGCCAGCATCCACGTGTCTCCGGATCCCGCGAGGCGGCCCCCACCTGCCGGGACCCGCTCCTCTGCCCCCCGCGCCCCTGCCCGGCTCACTTTGAGGGAGTAGGCCAGCGCAATGAAGCCCAGGCAGCAGAAGTTGAGGTAGACGAAGTTGAAGATGGACCACAGGTAGTAGTCGTTGACCTCGGTGGTGTCCGGGTAGACCTCGATGACCGTTGTGGGGTTCGTCATGGTCTTCTTCTCGGCCAGGTGTTTGCAGGCCTGGGGGGCGCCAGAAGCCCGCATGCTGTCCGTCTTGCTGCTCTTGGATTCCATGGGGAACAGGGTGGGCGCCATGGGGGGCGATGCCGAGGGCTCAGGGGCCGGGGCCGCTGGAGCCTGCAGAGCCGGGGGCTTGGACACGCAGGCAAAACAACCCTTCGGGGAGCCTGCCGGGGGCCTCGGAATCCAGAAGGCCCCGTCCAGGGGGACTCGGGCTTCCTGGGCGCCGTCCGTGGTGCTGGCCGGGGCTCCCAGCGGGGCTGGGCACTGGCCTGGGCCCTGGGCCTGGAGGCGGGGGGAGAGGAGGAGGGAGCTGGGTCCCGCCCGCCCTGCAGGGCTCGCCCTGATGTCCTGCAGCATCTCCCCTGCAGACTCGCGAGCAGCCCCAGAGGAGCTGGAAATCCCCGCCGAGGCCGCCAGCCTGCCACCTGCCTCCCCCACCCGCCCCAGGCACCCCGGTGCCACAGCCCTTCACAGCAGCCTTGGCAGGAACATCGGGGGCTTTTCATCACTTTGCCATCTGCGCACAAACATTCACCCACTGACACACAAGAGCACCCCCCCCCTGTACCCAGCAACGCCCCAACCAACACGCTGTTGCAATAAACACAGCACGCCAGCGTCCCAAACACCCCGGTACACGCACAGGGCACACAGACCCACGATGACGGTGTCTCGGCCACCATCTGGCAGAATGAGCAGAGCCCTCTGGGGCACCTGCACGCTGACGCCCCTAACACATGGGACACCAAAGGCTCCCCAGACCCTGGGCACGCTGTGCGCCGAGATGCCAGGGAAAAGCCCTGCCCTGTGACACGCAGCTTATACACACACAGCCACACAGGATCCGACGCAATCGCCCAGGGATGGCAGCGGGGCGACTGCAGGGGCTCCAAACTCGCGCACGCCGTCCCCGCCCCCAACCCCCGCCGGCCCAGAGCGGCCCCGGGACCCCGAGCACACGCTCCCAGGGAGCCACCCAGCCCGCGCCACAAACAGACGCGCAAGGACACTCTGCCA